AAAAAAAAAAAAAAAGCTGGTCAGAGGTGGTCTTTAGTGTCCTTGAGAATTTTTTGAATTATATGAATGTCAGTTTCTAGCTTTGATACAGGAAACAAGGGCATCCTGATTCAAAGGCATGCTTTCCTTAGGACATCTCTTATTGCTGTCTCATCCAAAGGAATGCCAGTATTCTCATGGATTCTAATGGGGTGGGGGTGGGAAGATGGGGGGTAAAATGACCTGTAGGATTAGGAGGGTCAAATGGTTCATAGCATCTTGCCCTATCAGAGCTTTCTACAGCCTAAAAGTGTTTGATAAATACAGGTTTGGGTCAAAGCCTTCTGATTCTTCAAAACAGCTTTGCTGAGAATGAACTTCTCTTGAAAGTTGTAGATCCTCAGGGACCAGGACAGGGTGTTTTATCTAGAAGACAAATTGTATATTAGGCTGCAGGACTCATGAAACCCTTGCCTGTTTCAGACCCTGACCGGAAAGGAGATTGAGATTGACATTGAACCCACAGACAAGGTAATGTATGGCCGGTACTTCATGCCTGTCTCCCTACATGCACATTCATTTGGAAATGCTGATGAACTTAGTCCTTTTCACTCTCATGCTGTCTGCATAGCTCTTGTTCTTTCCACTTCCATGGTTTTGCCCCTTAGCAGTCCCTGACTACTTGTACCCTTAAAGGTGGAGCGAATCAAGGAGCGTGTAGAGGAGAAAGAGGGCATCCCCCCACAGCAGCAGCGGCTCATCTACAGTGGAAAACAGATGTGAGTTTGACATGGATATGAGGTGTGGCAATCTTACGTGACGTTGAGGGAGCACATACTGGAGGAGGAGCCTCAGATCCTTTGGTGATGTGGTGAAGCCTGTGAATTCCTTCTCAGAATAAGATTTTTGCAGACATAAAATACATAGATTAACAGGAGCAACTATATTGAGATACAGTTCTCAAAATACTAAAAACAAATTTGTGATAATAATATATATGGTTTATTAATATGTTAAGATCTAATGGTGGGTTTAATTTACCATAATTTTGACATATTTTCAAATACTTGCAAACAGTTGTAATATGATATGAAAATATCCAATTTCTGTTAACAGGTTACCCATGTTGCTAATACCACTGGGTTTTTTGCTTGTTTTCAAAATTAAAAGAAATAACACATTTCAGTTAAGGGTCAGTAAAAATAAAGATGTAATTTTTTTTTCATCTGAGTTCATAGACCAGGAAGAAGACTCAAGAAACCCAGTGTAAGAATCCTGTTCTAGATGGTATTTCTAAGGCCTTTTTTTTTTTTTTTTGCCTTCTTTTCCTGCAGGAATGATGAGAAGACAGCAGCTGATTACAAGATCCTAGGTGGTTCAGTCCTCCACCTCGTGTTGGCTCTGAGAGGAGGAGGTGGTCTTAGGCAGTGATGGACCCTCCCTCCATTTTACCTCCTTACCCTGTCGCTCGTAATGAGGCATCATATATCCTCTCACTCTGTGGGACACCAGAGCCACTGCCCCTTCTCCTGGATGCCCAGTCTTGTTTGGTGGGAGACCGTGAGGACGCCAGGACTCAGGGTTCCTGGCCCAAAGGGCCCTTGCTGCCTGTTGGGTTTTAGTTTGCAGTCCTGTGTGCTTCCCTCTCTTATGGCCACGTCCCTAGTTGTCAATAAAATATTTCCTGACCTCCTGGAATCTTTCTTGTATTGCAGAAATGTGACAAGTTGAAATGGACCCAGTACACACTCATTTACACCTCTGAAGAAGTAGGGCAATGGGAGGGAATGTGCCCTTGGGGTGGGGGATTATCAGACTCTAGGAAAGTCTACCCAAGGTGGTGTGGAGCCAGTTCTTACCAGCCCAGGAGATCTAATTATTGGCATCTCTTCCCAACCCTGTAAGTGATTTCATGCTGGTAGCTTGAAATTGGCCTCAAGTGGCAAATCAGTCCCTCTCCCCAAACTGGTTGTTACGCATTTACCAGTATACTACTGATGGGGGTGGTAGAAACCAGGACAGTGAGTTCTCTCCCATTGTAGCCTCCTGGACATTTGGGCCTGGTTCCAGAAAGGCCTAAGGGCTTTACGGACACTACATTGTGGCTAAAATTCTGCTCGGGGCTTTGGGTTCTATACTGAACAGAAGACAGGCCGATTTGGAGAAAGGTTGAGGAGTGACAAGCTATGGATCACTTAGGTCTCAACTGGTAAGAGAAAATGAGAGCGGTGCCAGGCGAAAGGGCTCCCTTCCCTGGCTTCTCTAGTTTAGCCGACTCCGGCCGGGCTGGGTGGAGTGGAGGAGTAAGGGAAGAAGGTGTCTTGGAGAGGCTGGAGCACTGTGGTCCCCCCGGCGGTGGCGTTGGCACTTTACTGCAGTCCTTCCCCCGCTCCACCATCAGAAGGCGCTCTTGCGCGGTCTCCGGGCAGACGGCCGCAGCCCCGCGCGGCGACGCTCTAGTCGCCGTTTCTCTAAGGCAGGCGGGGCGGCTTGCAGCCGCGAAGAAAGCCTCGCCCGCCCGCCATGGCGCGGCTCCCGAAGCTGGCGGTCTTCGATCTGGGTGAGGGGACGGGCCTGGGGAGCTTCGCAGGGCGCTCTCCTTTCCCAAACCGCAGCGGCAGCTTCCGAGGCCTGCGCGCTCCGAGCCTGAGCCCTCCCTCCGTCCTCCCGCAGATTACACGCTCTGGCCGTTCTGGGTGGACACGCACGTAGACCCCCCGTTCCACAGGAGCAGGTGAGGCGGCGCTGGGGAGGCCGGCGCCGGGCGGGGCGGGGCGGGCCGCAGCTGAGCGCGCTCTCGCCCCGCAGCGATGGGGC